GTGATTTCGAAGCCCATCCTAGCAAATGATACGGGAACCAAAAATGATAGATTCAATAGAACAAGTGTCATGCAATCCAGGTATTCATCGAAATGTCGAATTCTGGCCTGCCGAGATATGTACTCCTCAGAACCCCGCATGCCTCCGGTGTCTCGATATAGCAGGTAACAGGACCATCATTCTGCAAAAAGTGATGAGACTCAGAGAAAGTATGCTTCATATGGTCATAACAACTGCAGAGTCTCGCTTCCACGTTCTTCATTCGTCGTGGACTGTAATACCTGTGAGGAGAATAGCTCCTGCCTTTACAAGCCGACCCTGATCAGTCCCTGCGTGCCTTGCTGGTGCCATTAGCAACTCCTTCTCTGCATCCAATCTCATGTGTCGATACATCATCGCGATGGAACGGTAAGGATACGATCTGTAACAGCGAAGGTCCTGCAGGATGTTGATTGTACAACCAAGAGCAGACGGGTTGACACTGCCGTCTTGTCCACGGCTTGTGTGCGCCTTATCACTTGGCAATGAAGCCGACACGCGATACTCACAACGCCTTCATAGGATTGATATCACGCAGGACAGAGAGACGAGATTGTGAACCGGGGAGCGCCGTCACTACAGAGGGCCAAGACTCAGGAGCAGCGACTGCGATGCTCTGTCGCTTGCCATGAACAGCGATTGGCAGATACCTACACAAGCCGGCGACAGCGAGGCTTGAGTTCACTCTGGCACTCAACGGACAGTTTTCAGACGCTTCTATCAAACCTTGGAGACTCACAGATTCAAAGATTGTCTACCCACAAGCACCAACGCCGGCATCTCCCAGTCAGTGTCTTCTCATAGACTTGCATTCGCAAAGGACATTTCGACCATGTCCTCAGCACGTCGACGTGTCCCAGAAAGCTGGTTCCCTATCTTCGTCCCCATAAAACACCCTCGCTAAACATGCACACTCTTGTTCACGTTGACGCTCTGTCCATAAACTAATCCGATAAGGGTCTAACGGAGTTGGCCGCTATGGCATCTGGTTGGTCCTACCGCAGTCTGGGCGAGATTCTAGAAGCTGATAACGGCAGATCTCTCTCGCGTTTCATAACGAGCTGCCAAATTCAGAGGTGCGACGGTGGGCTGGCGGGGTGCGCGAGGCCGCACGCGCAAAAATAAAATATCCACCACGCCCTGCCCAATTTTGACGTGTCGTGTGCTCAACTTCCACTCCTCTTCACGACCTCCACTCCTCCCCTTCGTCCCCTCCATTGACCCTTTCTCCCTCTGCCTTGTCGCAGTCGTTCTCCAGCCAACCATCCTCATACCGGCTACTGACGAAGGAGAAAAACCATGACGGAGTTCTACGACGAAGAGAAGGCCGGAAGGCTGCACCCTGACGAGAAGGATGTCAACGTCGATGTTGGCAGCGCTCAAGGTTCCACTGAGCTCGTCGATGAGAAGCCAGCTCAGAACGGCGGTATCCTCGACACTCTTTGTGGCTGGGAAGCGACCCTGGATCGCAAGCTCGGCATTGAGTCTCAGGCTATTCGCCGCAAGCTGCCCGAGGAGAAGGTGCCTCAAAAGTGGCACAACCAGGCAGTCATGGCCCTGCTGTGGAGTGGTGGTATCATGAACTTGTCTTGCATGTCGACCGGGTTCCTTGGTCCCAGCTGGGGTCTTACACTCGGCCAGAGCATCGTCATCACCATCTTCGGCACCCTTCTGGGATCCAGTGTTGCTGGTTGGTGTGCCACTCTTGGCCCTGGCACCGGTCTTCGTTCCATGTCCATCACTCGTTACAGCTTCGGCTGGTACCCCACCAAGCTCATTGCTGTCCTCAACATCATCTCTCAAGCCGGTTGGAGTGCTGTTGGCTGCATTACTGGTGGTATGTACATTGGTTGACTATACAAAGATAGATGCTGATCGCGTNNAGGTCTTGCTCTTACTGCCGTATCTGATGGCAAGGTCTCGTCTGCTCTTGGTTGCGTTATCATCGCTCTTTGCAGCAGTGTCATCAACTTCTGCGGTCTCAAGGCCATTCTGTACTATGAGAAGTATGCCTGGCTCGTCTTCTTCATCGTCTTCATGATCATGTACGGCATGGCCGCTCCTCATGCTGTCGACATTCCTGGTACCAAACTCCATGGCGCCAACCTCGCCGGAAACGTTCTTTCCCTGCTGTCGGTTGTCTATGGCAGCTCCTGCTCTTGGGCCACCATTGCCGCTGATTACTACGTTCACTACCCCATCAACACCTCCAAGGTCAAGGTCTTCACTCTCTGTACCCTTGGTATCAGTATTCCTACCTGCATTGGTATGGTCCTGGGATGCTGTATTGGTTCAGTCCTGAACGTCAACGACCAATGGAGCAACTCATACGAAGACGGACTTGGCTATCTCATTCAGACAATACTCTTCCCTCGCGGATTCGCCAAGTTCATTCTGGTCCTGCTTGTGCTCAGTGCTGTTGGCATGAACGCTCTCAACCTCTACTCTTGTGCCTTGTCGATCCAACAGTTCGCCCGCCCCTTGGCTAGAGTCCCTCGCACTTTCTGGGTTCTCGTTGTCTTCGGTGCCGTCACTGCCATCGCCGTCGCTGGACGCGATCACTTGCTCGAGTACCTGGAGAACTTCCTTTCTCTTCTCGGTTACTGGGGTACCTCCTACTTCGTTATCGTCTTCCTTGAGCACTACTGGTTCCGCAAGGGCGACTTTGCCAACTATGATCTCGACGGCTGGAACACCCCTTCAAAACTGCCTATCGGTCTCGCTGCTCTTGGCGCTTTCCTGATTGGTGTCGTTGGCTGGTGCCTCGGTATGGTTGAGACTTGGTTCACAGGCCCTCTCGCAAAACACATTGGCGAAAGTGGCGGTGATGTCGCCAACGAGCTCACGTTCGCCTTCACCCTCCTTGCCTACATTCCTCTCCGCCATCTCGAGTACCGCTACTTCCAAGAAATAAGTGACTCGATTTATGGTTGGTATAACACGAAACCCACGATTCTAGGGGAACGCCGTCGGACGAATTATCTGTATATACGCGATTTGCTTTTATCTCTTTTGCTGTTTGCTTTGGCGGGAAAACAGGGCATGATTTTGGACCCGACTTCCTCGATACCCAACTCAATCACTCTTTCAATGACCAACGATGAAGATGAAATCGTGATACACGTGTCCGTCATGCAATTGTCTCTTTTGGATTCCGTTGGTTCTCCGTAACCGCGTTATCCGTGTTAGACTGCGTGTGGTGCGTGTGTCATACGTTCAGTTGGTTTTGATGTGATTTGGGGGTATCTTTGCACTCAGTCCAAAGTTTGGTCGCTCTATCCTGGTCAACAGCACTCTTGAAGACGAGTTCGCTTTCTTTCGACACCCACGACGACAGGACTGGCAGATTTTACCCGACCATCCCGATGACGTCGCACCCGAGAAGCGCCGAAAATCTCCCTGCAAAATCTTCACTGGCAACCACGATATCCGACGAACCCGCGGACCTTCCTACCTTTCCATCGTACTTTGACCACTTGACCTCGACACTTTCTAGAGCGTTGCTCAGCACAAGGTACCCGTCTGGCTGCGGTTGCGACGCTCTCTCTTTGGACAGGTTAGTAAATCATCCTCACCACACACACACCTCCCCCCAATCCTTGCGAAGGATTAAAACATTTTTAACCCAGAGTCTTTTCGATGAAGATCAAAAACGCAACACTCTAATTTTTTCATGACGCACAATCATCACTCTCCTCTGCTTGATCAACATGATTTGGACACAAGCTGACCTGAGCAATTAGATATGAACATCAGGCCATCAAGTCTTCTGGACATGACGGACATGACGTGTCCTCAATCCAGTTGCAGTCCACTTGCAGTGGATACCATCACATGCGTCTGTTGATTGCGGTTCTCTGGATGTGTCACAAATGCGGTACTTCGCTATGACTACGTCAAGTTGTGGTTGGGCATCACAACCATGCACGCCCTAGAACCACGCCCAGCAAAACGCAATCAACAACTTTGCCTGGTCCACTCGTTCTCGAGATATCACTGCGACAGCACCTTTGCTGTTTCATGCAAAATCCACATCCCACAGCTTCCGCCAAGCCATATGTGTCAGCCAGCGCACGGCCTTGAATATTGGAAGCGAGAAAAATCGCACACCATAAGAAGAGCAATTCTTCTTCTTCTTGCAGAAAGCGTCAAACAATCTTCTTCGCTCTCACTGAGTAGTCAGGCATGGAAACCCTCATCTGAGATGTACCCGCCTCGGATCTCAATCTCGACATCACTGTAAGTCTACCAGCCTCCCCGCTTCCATCTTCACCTTCCCTCCCACATCTCAAATGACGAGACAACCAGCTGGCACCAGTCCTAGAAAGACTTGTACTCTTTTTGCTGCGGAATAGCTTTGCACGGGACTAGACTCCCTACTTCTGATTTTTACCATCCTTCTACCTTCTCGTCAATCAACATCACCTCGAAGATTGAACACAGAGACTAACACATGTCTCAGATTCTTCGAACTTTCTTGGAGCACCATACGACATCGACGACACAAAGCAGCATCTCGGAGCTGGTTATAACCACAGAAGTGGATATAGGTAGGTGGGCAAGCATTCGACTGAAGCTTCTTCAAACGATAATGCTGTGGATTCAACATTCTACAGTCGTGCTCATGATGAATGTCACCTGCACGCATGTCAATGATACTCTGGTTGACTAGAAAGTGTGCACAACAAAAGGTAGGTCTTGCTTTTCCATCTCAGTCTTCGATACCGTATCTAGCAGTATCCTACAAACAACATTTGTATTGAAAACATATCGCTCCTTCTCTTTCTCCGTGTCGTTTTTCGTAGTCTGTCTTGCTTGAACAATGCTACAAAAAATGCTTGGTCAAAAGTCTGTCCCTCTTCCTCTGAACAAATGCTCAATCTATTCACCATGTCAGCATGTGTTGCTCAAAACAATTCAACCATCTTACCTGCAAACCAGTTTTTGGCATTGACAAACATTCAAAGCTTGGCCTTCTTCTGACGCTTTGAAGGCGTCTCGAGCACAGGATACTTGGATGCAAACACCTCATCAATACGCCTATCGCCATCATCTTCCTCGGGCCGAAAGTCTTCGTCAGAGTTGTCAAAGTCTTGGACATTGGGCACTTTGGTGTAGTCGATGCCGCGACGGCGCTTGCGGGTTGAGCCAATGGTGGGAGGGCTCATGGCCATGTCTTTATCGGACTCCGAGCTGCTATCGACAACGACCTTCTTGCATTTATGGTGGCGAGGAGACTTGACTTTGTTGGCCTTGACGAAATTTGCCATCTTGACGGGCTTCATGGACGCGATTGCTGTAGGTCTCTTCTCGAGGCTTTGAGGCGAAGGGAAAGGGCAAGTGCGGTTGATGATGGTCATGCTTTGCTCATGGTCGCTCTCCAACTCGGCGATAATCTTTGAGTCGTTGCAGGCAGCTGTGGGAGTCACCAGAACCTTGTCGTCGCTGAGAGGAGTAACAAGGCTAGCACCGGGTGGGACTCTAAACATGCGAGGCAAGGGGCGAGTAGAGGTGGGAGTCTTTGGCTTCCGAATCTCATCATCGCTGTCATCGTCGTCGATGATGATGGCCTTGGACAGAGAAGTGTCATCCGAGATCTTTGCAGCCACAACACCAGGACCGAGATCAGGAGCCGCAACGAGAGCATTACCAATCCACTATTCCAGTGTCAGCATGATGAAGAAAACACGAAAGATCGTCCGAAGACTACTGACCCTCTGCCAGATTTCAGCGATGCCACGGCCCATTTCTTCGCCATTAGTGGGAGCGGCACATAACTNCGATAGCTATAGATCGTCAGTGTTTGGTGTGTGAAAGGAAAGGAGAGAACACTTGCGCCACATGTCAAGAACATGTTTGGCGAACGATTGAGTGATGGTTATACCGTCGAGGACGGCGAGGAGGAAGGAGATGTCCTTAGCCGGATCGGGTGGAAAAGCCATAGCAGCCACTATAGCCGTTGACTGTTGTCGTATAGTAGGTGTAGTAGACAGAAGGAGGAAGAGATCTCAGAGAGGTGTGAAAGTCGACTATGAGGGTTGGATCAGAAGAGTGAGTCTACTATGTTCCAAGGATGTAGAGTCTGCTCTGATCTTTCTCTCACTTCACTTACTTCCAACAAGTCTCCTGCAAACGCTAGACTCTTCACTCTTCACCCGGTGACAATCTAGGCGGTTGCGAGTTTCCATCCCTCTTCCACATCTGTTTCTTACTTTTACCCATTGTCGTCTACAACCATGCCTACCAAGGCAGAACTTCTACAGCAGATCTATCTTCTCCTTGCTGTCATCCACACTAATGACTTTAGCATAAGTCAAGAAATGGCCGCCAGAATCCTCGACCACTGGCGTATGATAATCGACTGCCATCCTGCCATACCACACTAACATATCTAGATCCTGTCATGGGTGACCATCCTGAAAACGCCGAAGCAATCATAGAGAGCTACAATGCCATTCTGCAGCAGGTACTCCTCTCACCCACACCCTAGATGTACAAGATCCACTTGCTTACCCATGACAGTCTGTGACTCTCGACCCACCCAGAACACAGAGACCCACGAAGAGAGCCATCAAATCCGAAGACATCGAGTCGCCCTTCAACTTGGCTCGTTCAAAGAAGTTTACAATCACTTCTCGCGTCCCTAAGCTTGACTCACCAACCATCGACACCCCATCTTCCAGACCTAGCAACAGCGAAGACCTCGAGACCATCGACTTGACTAGCGACACTAGCCTCCCTGTCTTTGGCTCCACTAGAAAACGTCTCCGTTCTGTCGACTTTGCTGGTCACACCAAGGTTAACAGAAAGGAAGTTGACGGCAACGACAACATTGATAAAAACATGTCCGATGCTGCCGAAGATGATCTGCTAGACGAAACCCCTTGCAAGAAGCGCAAGATGAGATGAAGATGGATAGACTCTGTTTGACCTGACCTGCCATCTTGTAGACAGCGCCACTGTTGGAGGTGCAAGCCAATAAATTGTCGCGGGAAAAGTGAAGAGAAACCGCGAGCGGGGAGGCAAGAAACTCGAGTAAAGTAAAAGGGGGCGATGGGGTTACGATAAGGAATAGGTGTGCTTTTGGTTTTTGTTCTTTCAATTCATGTTACTCGTGTCCGTCTATTAGCCTCTCTTTGATCCTATCAACCAAAAGTTTCATTCCTCCATTTCGGTCTCAATGCAAGTCCACTCTACTGAATCTCGAGGTCGCCAAACTTTTTGGCAAACATGCCTAGCGCCTTTATGGGAAAGATGAATTTGTAGTTGGGGTAGGAGATCANTGCTGTTTTGTCACTAGTTAGCCACTCTTCGTCTTGATCACAGAAACAACAACAAGAAACTCACCAGCTCTTGTTAAAGACACCTTCGATACCCTCTTGGAGCCACTCGCCATTGGGCTGTTGACGCGACATGATGAGCTTGACTGCCTTTTCGATAGGCGCTCTGTCGGGATATCCGGCTTCAATGAGAGCAATCACTACCCAAGCTGTCTGCACGACTTGGGATTCTCGGTGTTGGCAGTACTCGCCAGTCTCACAGCTGCGATATGTTTCTCCCCATCCACCGTCCTTCATCTGTTTGTCGATGAAAAACTTGCATCCTTTGCGCACCCGAGCAGAATTTGTGTGGTTCTCTCCTGCTGTGGCTAGGGCTTCTAGTGCAAACATGCCTGCATAGGTGAAGCAGATGGCCCAGCTGCCGTACCAAGATCCATCTACGCGTTGTGCGTTGCGGATGTACTCGTAAGCGCCCTTCTTGAACACTGCGATCTCTCGGCTGCGGTAGCCTGGGTAGAGTTTGCCAAACAGAGTCAATGCTGTCACCACGGCGGTTGTGCATTCGGGGTAATCGTATTCGACCATGATGCGGCCAAAGACTTCTGCCGCATTGAGCCATTCTAGCAATTCGGAGCCGCGTTGGGGTTCGTAAGAGGAGCAGCCGCCGGACTTCTTATTCTGCATAGTGAGGAGGACATCGATGGCTTCCTTGATGCGTTCGTCCGAGATGAGTTGAGGGTAGCTGGGTAGGAATTGGAGCATGAGTACGGATTTAATACCTTCGGATGTGCAGTCAGAGACAGTGTAGCCTTGTCCCTTTGTGCTGAAGCCCCAAGCACCCTTTCGCTGCTGACGGTAGGTAATATGCTGGTCAACACACTCCTCACGTATTTGAGCAATATCGAGATACTCCAGAGCCTTCTCGAGCATGGGCCTCCATTTGGGATCTTCGGCTTTGTCGCATTCGATGACGGCCTGGATGAGGAAAGAAGTATCCCAGTTCTGGACACCGTTTGTGCCGTTGACCAGCATACCTTCATCTTTGACCCACAGGAACTCTTCCAAACGCTCACGGTGTCGACGAACAGAATAGCTGTCAGGACCATCGACGATGTAACAACAGAGCATATTCATGGGCGAGTTCACGGGGGCAAGATCGGCATAATCGGAGTTTTCGTCCTCGCGCTTGACCAAGAACCACACCCAGTCCTCTGCACGCTTGACCAACGATTGTGTCCGTAGGAAAGGAATCCAGATGCTGACCAAGATCCAGTTGATGAGGTTCAAGACCCACGTCTTGGGGTGGTAGTTGTCGGCTTTCGAGATGGAGTTGCGGTGAGAAGCAAAGTTGATGGACTCGTAGGGGTCGATGAAGAGCTCCTGTCTCAGCTCTTTGACCAGCTTGTCTGCAGGGAAGGACCACTTGCGAGACCAGATGAAGGACATGGGCAAGAAGACCATACGCATGTGAATCCACCATCTCCAGGGAGCGATGGGGACCCAGTCAGGGACTAGCCACAACTCGGGAGGCACAGGGTTGACGAGATCCCAAGGTGTGACACCCAGCACGCTCAGCCAGAACTTTGCCCAGTGAGGGCCATTGACGGCTCCTCCGAGTTTGTGCAACAGAGCACGAGCCTTGATCAAGCGCGGGTCCTCTGCATCGGCGCCCAAGAGTCGCAAGGCGACGTAGTTCATGGCCGTGCCAAAGACGGAGCTATCTCCCTCGATGTGTAGACCCCATCCTCCATCTTCCGGATGCTGGCGCGCGTAGAGATAATTCTTGAGTTCGATCTTGTAGGCTTCCGAGATGGGCGTCTTGGTGACATACCAGGTGATGACGAAACCGGAGACCAGGAACATGGGACCGCCATACTCGCAGCCCCAGTTGCCGGGGGGCAGTTGCAGCTTGGAGAAGAATTCGAGACCGTTCTCGGCAGACTGGAGGGGAGTCTTTGGGTGAGGAAGGGTTGGTTGTTNCCTGTTCACCAGTCAGTGCTCATTCAGGAGGTAGATATACTTGACAAGAGTGCGCACAGTGGGCAGACCGAGAAAGTACTTGTCTGCTGTCGTCTGAGGCCATTCCTTTGCCTGTTCCTCGTCCAGGTAATGCCATGTCTGCTCTCCACCGATGTCTCGAAGCCTCCACCTCGTCGCGTCCGTCTTCTGATCGCCAACTTGGTTCGCCACCATCTTGACGTATGAATACAACCTTGACAGGTCGAGTCGTAAGAGAAGTCGCAACTCAAGCTGACTTGGTCGTAATTTCCTAAGAACACCCTCGTACGATTGACACGCGCCAAGACCCTCTTGCATGTGAAATTTGTGGAGTAGCTCCATTACCCCTGACAATCACCACCACCGACCCGGTCATCACACCTCACCAAAAGACAAGAACTATCAAGAAGCAAAGCATCCATATCTTGTATAGTGGTATCAAAGTAGAACCCAAACCGTATTCGCAACTCCGTTCACCGAACAGAAACACCCAAACAAATCCCTGTACCCATCCTCCCCTATTCAATCAAGTCATCATCGTCATCCACCATGCTGTCCATCAATGCCTGAACATCCTTGTCGTCGGCCATGCCACTAAAGTCATAGTCCTCCATCTCTTCGTCAATGTCCATCCGCGTACCCTCAGCGTCAGGATCTTCAATCCGTGTCGACTCGAGTTCTCGTCTCAATTGTGCATTGACCGGATCATCTTCAGCTTCAACCGCGGTGGCCTCTTCCTCCTCTTCTCTTGCCTCTGCACCCGTCACAGACTGGGCCGTCTCGTCGACATCTGTCCTCTGTACAACAGTGGCATCCTCGACCACCGTCTCCTCGCTGCCACCACCTCTTTCTGCTGTCGCAATGTCGTGCATGAGCTTGAGTAACGTCGTCTGCATCTTGGCAAGAGCGTTGCGACTGGTTGCGTCAGATGCCACCTTGGACTCGATCGCTTCTGCGACCAGCTCGAGAACCGTGCGGAGCAGGCCAGGGTCTGGAGATGAGACGGTCAAGTGGAGCTTGCTCAGCATAGAGAACAAGACCTTGCGTTCGTCNNCTCTGTAGTTCTAAAGTTAGTCATGTTTAGACAGATATGCACAGAAGCACTTACTGCTTGTTTGACTTGTCACCAGCCTCTCGAGGATCTGCTCTGCGAGCACAAAGTGAATCATGTCGCTATCAGGAGCTGCTCCCTCTTCGACTCTGAGCTTGCCAGTCTTTGCTTCCTCGCTGCTGCCAATCACCTTTCGAGGATCTGTCCAGTCAACGAGCATACCACCGACCACACTCAGCGTTACCATCTCGCCTTCTTCGACGTCCTCATCCTCGATGAACGCTTCTCTGAGAGCAGCAAGACGAGTAATGACGCCTGTAGCGATAGTAGCCATTCTCTCTGCATTTGCTGCTCTCGAGTGGCAATACACAGGCAGGAAATATGTCAGTGCTTGTCTGAGAGATGCGTTCCCGTTCGTCTCGGGATCGAAAAATGCGATGACCAGACCCTTGAGTAGATCAGGATCTGTGATCAGTTGCGAAAGCATGAGCTTCGACAAAGCCGATGCGCCAGTCGACTGGACATCCACATCTTCAGACTTCAATGACTTGGAGTAGGTCTTGAGAACAGGTTTTAGTAGTGGCGAGGGTTCGGTAGCAGACACTGTAGCAGAGGTTTCGTCACCATCACCCGACGACGCGACAGGAGCAAGTAGCGAGGGGTGTGTCGTGAGGATATCTGTGATGATCTGGAGCGCGATGGTTTGTAAAGATGCATGGCCCTTGGCGAAACAATGTAAGAAGAGGGTAATGTTTTCTTGCGCAAGATTNNCTGTAATGAGTTAGCGACTTGCAGGGACCTCCACTTTCACGATACACACCTTTCCGAGTAAACAGCAGAGCCCCAGGCAGACCAGACCACGCTCTCTTATGGGCGCTTCCTGGCTTCTGACGGCTGGAATGACGAGGTTGTTGAGCATAGTCACCAAATGGACTGTCTGCTCGAGCTCGCATTGGATGTTTTGAAGCATACATTGCGCAATATGCAGACACTTCATGTTGACCATGATCTCACGGATAGCCTTCTCCTCGTCGTCGTCTTCCTCTTCTTCGTCATCGTTCTCTGATCGTCTAGAGTTCTTACCCCTTTTCGCCGAGTTGTCGCTGCTGACTTCACTCCTTGCGGAATGGAAACTCTCTTCTCCTGTAGAGCTTTTTGTCTTGTCGCCTTCGTCACCCATGATAGTATCATGGACCTCAGCGATGGCTTCAAGAACGATGCCGCAAAAATCGCTCTCACCTTTGTCGCTTCTGTCGTCTCCACAGACTAGACGCAGGGTTTCTACTGCTAACCTGGTGGACTCTTCTGGTAGCTCGGGCATGGTGAGAGCTTCGCGCATGAGGCCAAACATCTTCCTGCGACCAACTTCGTCGCTGTAGTCAAAGCTAATGGCCATGTGAAGCATTTGCTCGACAATGAATTCGCGTTGAACACTCTCTTCTTCCATATCTTCGTCGCCATCTCCATCTGGTCCGCCAGAAGCAGCTCCTCGCACGCACTCGATCAACTTGTTGATCTGAATCTCGAGCAGAAAACCAAACTTTGTGACTTCGGGCATCTTCATCTCGAGCATGTCCAGTAATCTTCCGTCTCCTTGGGCGTCCTTGGCGCGGCAATAGTCGTTGAAGGTGCGAGCGACAAAGACACTTTCTGGTGAAAGCTCGTCCCAGAAGGCCTCAGAGTCAAAAGTGACATATTCTCTGTAGTCAGGACGACCGTCCCAGAACTCGCTCATTGCTTCGAGTGCTACACCTCCAGCATTTCCAGAGTTTGCGACATCGATACGCTCGAGCAGTTCGAAAAGAGCTTCAAGACTGGGATCGGCAGCTTTTGTGACTCCTGGCTTCTTCTTGCCGTCTTCCGTCTCTTCTTCTGGGGCACTGGCTGCAGGTAGAGCAGCACAGTCCTCGATCCAGCGCTCTCTGAACAGGCGAGCAGTGGCCTTGCGCACCGTCTCGTCACGATCGCGAAGACCCCATCGGAGCAGCTTCTCTCTGTGTGTCAGACTGAGATGTCTGAAGTCGCCCAATGCGGGTAGGAGACGAGCGTATAACGCGCGACGTGTTGCGGCATCCAAGTCTCTTGCACGTTCGAGTAGGTATGGGAGGGTCGTAGGTGTGAGGGGAAGGTTGAGAAGAAGAGCACGGCGGACCTCGGCGGATGGGTCGTTTTGGAGGACGTTGAGGAGCTTTTCCAAGACACCCGAACTAGCATCGTCATCGTCGCTGTCTTCGTCTTGTTGGTCTTCGTCAAGTTCAGCGGCAAGACGGCTCAAGCCGTATATGGCGTGCATGCGGACTGAAGACTCTTTGTCGTGGATACGCTTGAGCAGGGCCAGGCGGAGCAGGTGGAACATCTGATCATCGAGAGTATCGAGCGTGTTGATGATGTGAGCGCTAATCTGAGTAGCTCTGAATCGCACAATCTTGTCTTTGGTTGAAAGTAGCTGCAACAAAGTGTTTAGGATGGCGTTCGTCAGACGCGAAGTAGGTGTCTCTGGCAGGGCACCATTCTGATCGGCTACAAGCTGATTGTCCTTTTCGCTGGCAACCCGCANAAAGATGCCCAGGAACTTGACGATTCGATCGCCGACAGTCTCGCTCTTCTTGATGGGCAGGACACGCAGGACACAGCGCACGACCTCGGTGTTGAAGTCATCCTCGTCAAAGTCGTACTCGGCCTGCTTCTTCTTTGAGCTCAGCGGCTCGTAGCAACATGCCTCCTGGATCTTGCGCAGGTTGATAACCAGTTTCCGGTGGCCAGTGTTTGACTTTTGGGCATCCGCAAAGACGGCCGCGACATGGCTGCGCAGCTTGGTAATTGGGCCGTCGTTGGGGATGTTGCTGACTGGTGATGAGGCAGCCGCTCTAGCGGTTCGAGAGGAGCGTGGTTTGGAGGCAGTAGTGGTGCCTTTGGCGGAGGCGCCGGCGACTCTGGCAGGCATTGTTGTCGTTGATGGGCATTCGAGACTGAAGGAAACAAAAGCCGAATCGTAAACAAAGAAAGCGCCCAACCCCGCCATTTCCACGCGAGCTTCATCTTATCTCGATCATCTCATGTTGATCTTATCTCGATCATCTCATCTCGATCATCTCCGATATGAGCAGCCGCCGTGGCTGACATATTGCGTGACGATGGCAATTGTTCCCTCCTTCTTGTCTTCTACCATCACACTATACCAAACATGTTTCGCACAGCAGTTCGTCGCTTTGCCGCCACGGCTCTGCGTCCGGCCGAGACGGTCGCCCAAATGGAGGCTCCACAGCTCCATGGAATCGAGATCTCAAAGGCACAGCGCATTGCCCACGATGGCTTCATTGATGGTGCCTCATCTCTCACGCCTTGACCTTGTTTCGCGATTGACTGACTGGTAGACTCCTTATGATCAGCCATTGGCAAGACGCCACTCATCCGCATGAAGAAGCTTTCAGAAGAGACGGGCTGCAATATCCTGGGCAAGGCCGAGTTCCAGAACCCTGGTGGCAGCGTCAAGGACCGCGCTGCTCTCTACGTCGTCAAGGATGCCGAAGAGCGCGGTCTGATCAAGCCTGGCGGTACTGTCGTCGAGGGCACTGCTGGAAACACTGGCATCGGTCTCGCCCACGTCTGTCGCAGCAAGGGCTACAAGCTCGTCATCTACATGCCCAACACGCAATCACAAGGCAAGATCGACCTGTTGCGTCTGCTGGGTGCTGAGGTCTACCCTGTTCCTGCCGTCGCCTTTGAGAACCCCGACAACTACAACTGGCAGGCCAAGCGCCATGCTGAGCGCCTTGACAATGCTGTTTGGACCAACCAGTTCGACAACACCGCCAACCGTCGTGCACACATTGAAACCACTGGTCCTGAGATCTGGAATCAAACTGCTGGCAAGATTGACGCTTTTACCTGTGCTTCCGGTACCGCTGGCACCATCGCCGGCATTACTCGCTACCTCAAGACCATCAGTGACGGTCGCGTCAAGTGCTTCCTGGCCGACCCGCCAGGCAGTGTCCTCCACAGTTACATTCAATCTGGCGGTGTTCTCACCGAGCGCAAAGGAAGCTCAATCACAGAAGGCATTGGCCAGGGCCGTGTGACCGACAACCTCAAGCCCGACATTGACCTCCTGGATGGCTCGCTCAACGTTCCCGACGAGCAAAGTATCGAAATGGTCTACCGCTGTCTGGACGAGGAAGGTCTCTACCTCGGTGCTTCTTCTGCTCTCAACGTTGCAGCCGCCAGGAACGTAGCACAAAAGTTGGGTCCCGGAAACACCGTTGTGACCATTCTCTGCGATGGCGCATACCGCTACGCCGACCGCCTCTTCTCGAGAAAGTGGCTCGAGAGCAAGAAGCTCGTCGATGCCATTCCTACCAACTTGCACAAGTACATTGTCCTGCCGTAGATAGGCTGGCCTTGGACTCGGACTTCGTATCACGACATCTAAAACTGTACATACATGGCATGCATGGCATTCTTTACATTGTCCGATCATCATCATGTGCAAGAGTGTCAAACATTTAATCGGTCAGGTGCGGCGCCAACATGACGCTTGCGGTGCAACATTTCACATCTTACGCCCTGTCATAAGCACAATCGTTAAAGTGGTAAGTCCAAGTTTGCATTCAGTCATTATTGATAACACATTTTTCCAAAACCGTCCGTTCCCATGTCCATTTTTCCATTCCTAACCCCAGCCATTGTTGTGCCCCATTATGATTATGAGGGAAAGTCATTGAAAGACGCACGTTTTGCAACGTCTCTGTCGTCATAAAAGGAGAGTTTCATAAGGGGGCCACTGGCAAACGTCATTTGCAGCCGACCTCCTGTTCATAAGCACAAATAATGCATCTAAGACCAAGCAGGAGGAAGACANNCTGTGGTTTGATGGTCAGTCCAATGTTCAAAAGACGAAGAAACAGAAGCCAAACTTACAGCAATATCCGCCTCGGAAGCCTTGGGCAAAGGAGCAAACCAGCCCATCTTGGCAGACTGCTGAAGACCAGGCGAAGGTAGGGGTGTAGCCGAAGGCGATGTCGATGCCGACGAACCAGCAGAAGGGAAGAAACTAAACAGTGCTGATGACAGTGTGCGCGACACGGTTGGTCGTTGCGGCATGGATTGAGCGAGGTGTGTGTTCTTCTTCTCGGCAGCTGCTTTCTGCTGTGCTTTGTCTTGCTGTGCGCGAGCCTCGACGTAGTTGGAGGGTAGACAGTCGGCGGGGAACATTGTGTCGGATGTTGTTGCGAAAGTGTCGCGTGTGTGTGAACGGAATCGTAGGTCACAGATGTGGAGATGCTCAAGAGTTTTCAAAGACTCGTCAAAGTAGAGTTTTGCGAGTGATGTTTGAATGATTGGGTATTTGTCGAGATGCGATGGAGAACACTCGATAGATTGTGGTGATGGCTTTGAAATTGAACGACAGTTGTGTGGATGAAGAAAAGAGAGAAGAGGCTCTAGACCAGAAGGCGCCCCCGGACTTTTACGAAATGGTCGGGTGTGTGCTTGCGTTTGTGGCGTCGAAGATGGCGTTTTTCCTTGTTTTGCCGTGGGGGATGAATGCGGGATGAATTTCCTGGGGTTGGCAATTCGTTCCGAAGACTCTTGTTGGTGAAAGCTTTCTCTTTGTCAAAGAGACAAAAACGAGAGTGAGGAGGGATCCTTGATTATGAAGCTGGACAAAGCGATGGGGAGCCGTGGGTGATGAATCAGGTGGACGCAAACCACCTTTTGTACGTACCTCTTCCTTTGCTTTGCCCTGTTGATTGTTGCTGTGCTGGAACAGGTCAGGTTCCCGAGAGACAGGACATGCATGCGCCCAATTGCGCCTCCGACATGCAGGCTGGCAATCCTCTCCCCGGTCGAGAGCGCACCGCATTCAGCCGGAGATTGACCAAATCCGTCTCGACCGCCACTCGCCCGCACAGAGATCTACGTTGCTGCAGCTGACGAGAGCCTTCCAGAACCACCATCCCCAGTCTCTCCTCATCGTCTCCAAGAATCTTGGTGCTTGGGGTGTCGCTGACAGCTGGAGTGTGAGGTAGCCCAGCTCTTTGGATTCATCACCGCCATCACAGCGCCAAAACCTTCCTGATCACGTCAAGAGCTCTTTGTTCCTCTTGTCCGTCCTTTGTAGGCGTTCCGCCCTGTCCAACCTAGATTTTTATTCAAGGTCATGGCATCTTTTGTGGTGGTGGCTTACGCCCTCTCCTCGGTAACCCCAGATCCTCAACCACTCGGACATGCCGCGCACCACCAAATGGCGGTGCGCAATCGCCTTTACCCTTTCCCCTCATGCAACTATATCGGAAGCCACTACCCGTTGCAGCGTGCTACATCACATCTGCTCTCTCCCATTAATTCCGGGGAAGAATGGAATATCACAACCGTCCATCTTGAATTGACAGACAGTTGTATTGGATAGGTAAGATTAACCCAGCGAGTAAGTCAACATTTTGTGTTTCCTGTCTTTTCAGCCGCGTCTGTTGTGTTTTGCTTTCCCCGAAGTCACAAGGATGCAAGAGTTGGCTTGGTGATGACGGATTGATCATCATTCTCCAATTGGTATCCCGGGGTCAGGTTCGCAGATGTGGAGGCACAGCCCTACTTGTGCTACAGTCAAAGTGTGGCTTGCATGCTTCCACTGCGCACCGCATATTGACCATATGGGACCTTGCGTCTTTCCATTGATACTCTCCGATACACGAACGGCTTGGGTGGGCACAACAACTACCTACTCTACCTCGTTTTGATATGATATATTATCAATCACATTACACAGGTTGTGCATAGACATATGAGACGCGCGTCTGTAATGATATTTCTAGTTTCAACTGCTCCAAGAAAGAACATCCCGACCATTTCGCATTCTGTCCCAGTTGCCTCCTATTGCGTGGTTGTGAGACTCTGGGCGGCTTGTCGGTCCTGCCTTCCAACATTCATCATAGGAGCATTCAACGCGATTGGGCCAGGCTGCTGACCAAATGGACACTGCCTTTCTACCTCACACAGATGATTTTATGATCCGGAAGCCCACGAGGAGCGATGCCGAGATTTAGTCACACATGCCATACCCAGTTACGGGTATCAGCATCAAATGATCACTTGTGTTGGCATTCCTTGCAGCTCGTACTTTCGATGCACGTTTCTCGAAACTAGGAGATTACAGAAATTTTGATCGTGTTTCTGATAGACGAGATTGAGTTGTGACGAGCATGGATCTTGCATTGCTGTCCTCTATGCTTTCGTGTCCTGTTCTTGACACGAGACCATCAATATAGAAACAAGCGGAACGCTCGGCGAATTGTGTTACACTAAACAGACTTGGGTCGCTCACATTCCTTGACCGCCTGTAAGCCCCAGATCACGGGTCTTGACAATCGCGTCGCCCAGATAACACAGTCAGTCTGAGCAAGACGGTCTGCCTTTGCTGCGCCTTCTCTTACTCAGGCTCAGCAGAGCAGTGCTCACCAGCAGGGCTAGACGACCAGGCCTAGGTAAACCTCAGTCTTGCTAATGCCCTGATGCTTCGAGATCATCGACAACAATACGACCTTAAAGCGGAGTGCATCGTCGCCGCGCTCGCAAACGGAGTATTGCTGGCACACACCTGTCACCTCGATCTACAGTTCTGAACTCGAATTGAACTTTATGGATATAGTAGTCTCGTGAAAGCACGCATGACCCCGTATCCTGAATGCTCTTGGTATACCAGCCCCTCAAGAATGACGCGATGTGAGGAAACAAGCTCGAGCGGGCCGGCTGTGGATTGACCTATTTTTGGGATATACGAGAAGCTTGGCACGTCAAAACCCTGCCAAGGCTGATGGAGAGGCTCTTGGGTTACATCATTCAGGACCACTTTCAATCAATACTCATGGAGTAACATACACATCGGCTGACTTGCTATGCAAGGCAAAGAGTAGATGAGACCGACTGTGAACTACTGGTGATGGTCACAGGGTCAACACTATGGCTTGCCTGCAGCAGTGCCTCTATGCGAAGAATCGCTTCCAACCTCCACCAATCTCAGGTGAGACAAAGAACCTCATAAAGTTTCTAGCTGTAGGCCTGGGAATAAGCGGCAATGATCATCTTTGCGGAGCGATGCGGCTGCTCCATCAAACACTTACTTGGCTCGTATAGTCAAGTCAGACATCCACATTGTATGCGAAGAACGCCTGATGATCGACAAAAGTATCGACTGCCAGGAAAACGAGGTCCAAGAATAGCAAGGACTCATGGCATCTGAAGCCATGGATGCTCGAGCATAGTAGAGGCAAGAGGTAAGGCCAAAGGGTATATAAGGGCCACTCCAGTCCTGCCAGAAGATAAGAATCATCAAACAATCCAATTCTCTCTTCTCATCTACAAAGACCACCAACAAAACCGACCAAAACCACTTTAATCTACTTCCTCAACCTTCAAACCAAACAACAACACCATCAACATGCACTTCACCACCTTCACCACCGTCAGCGTCCTCGCTCTCGCCTCCTCTGCCCTCGCCGGCAAGGCCGCAGTCAAGAACAACTGCCCCCAAGACGTCTTCCTCACCATCACCCGCAGCGACCAATCCCACACCCAGCAAAAGCTCGCCGCCAACGGAGGCTACTACAGCGAGCAACTCTCTGGTCAAGGCAACAGCTACGGCCTCACCAAGAACAGCGACTACTACTCTGCCAACACCCCCAAGCTGATCTGGGGTGCCTCTGACAGCGCTGGCGTTGTCTACTACTCGCTGAACAACGTTGATGGCAACCCCTTTGACGGACAGAGTGTCAAGGTTACGGGAACTCAGCCTAACTGCCCTGCTGCCAACGGTGCTGATGGCAGCACCAAGGCTTGCTCTGACAGCAACGACTTCACCCTTACTGTCTGCTAGAGGAACCGCCTGTACGACTTTTGATACACTGGCAATAGAAGCATGAACGCTAGCATATTAGCTTGGGGTGGAAGATATCAGCACACACTCTTTAATGTAATCAGCTTTATTTAATACAAACTGCAGTTTCTATAAAACCACTTTCTGCACATCGAGCGTGAGACGTGAATGCCGATCATACTAAGATACAGTCTGTATATTGCAAACCGCTTCCCGGCACTCACATGCTACTACAAGATCTAAAAGGATGCACAACCATCGAGGTATCGACTTGGGACCATGAGATCCACAAACTCACCCAGCAGCTTGTGCGCCTCTACCAAGATATCCTTTCAAGAAGGCCATACACCCGCCAAGCAGGATTTGAGTATCCATGTTCAAACATGTCGGCAGATACTACTTCAATTTCAACCACCTTTAACCCATTCGACATTCATTGGATGGCCATTGAGATTAGGAGAGATTGTCTTGTCGGCATCCAAGGCTTCGTGCCTGTTGACTTGCGCACACAATTCGTTGGCTGGCGCTTGAGATTTGCACTCCCCCTCTTTGTTCGAATCATCAGTCTTTGACCAACTGGCAATTGGGACCCAAGTATCGTTCGGACTCCCCGTGTCCTGTTCACTTAGTCTGGTGTGGATTCGCGCAATGTTTGGGACTCTAGGCCATTCACCGCGACATTCATCCTCTACGCTCTTCGTTAAGAGCCTTACGAGACTATATATCATGCAAAATCCTTCCGATTTACATACGCATGTTGTTTGCGACTGTCTTGTTAAGACATCATCCGGTCTCTGTACTGGAGAGTGTCCGTCCACCATAGTTTATAGGAACTACCTCCATCATCGACTGGACTGTGGTGTCTGCATATGGGTATGCATGGCCAAGCGAGCCTATAGTACTCGTCCCTTCCACGACTGTGGTACGCCCTTGACATGTGGTTGCAACTTGAGTCCAAGCTTTCTGTCATGGGATTCTACCCTCATGGAGTCGGTCTTGAGATGCCGTTATGGAGATCTCTTTCCAAGGGTAACAATGCCCAAGCTAGTACCCAAAGTCTCATCGACAATGTCCTGGTAGGCACGACGTCTAACTGGAAATATGCAATCCTATGAGCAACGTCCCCGCCAAGGGCGGTCAACATGCTCACTTCCATGTCCTCCAAGATTCGTCTGATAAGTCTTGACTGCTATTTTGTCATGTCCCAAAAGTCACTCATCTCTTCTGTTCTTGCTGGCAAGGCCGTTGGATGCGGTCGAGCACTCGGTTCCAGTCATTTATCCTTTTTCTCCTTGTCGTGGTGTGTTGAATGCTTGTTTTGACATGGTAGGACATGTTTGCAGAAGTTGTTCGTGATTTTTATAAGAGCTATAGGACTTCTTTTCGTGCGAGTGTAGTGAGGTCTTTGTTTCGCATTCTCATATGCAAAAGTCTCGAGATGAATCGTTATCCTGGTTGTAGTCATTACTGCATTTGGTCACTTGAACGCTTTCTAGACCTTTCAACCTGATATTGTGTAGGTGATCTTCTCACTGAGACCAAGCATAGTGTTGAGAGATCAATGAAGAATATACTCTTGTGCGATTTGTGATCGATCTCCCTCCAGTCTCGTGATGATACATATCTCTCTCCCTTCCATGCCGTGGCCATGTCCATATCTTGAGCCAGGCAAATTGCTTTTTTCTCTCAATCACGCCTTGAACGCCGTGCTGTTCCCAAATAAACGCGCCTCTCATTTGAGGCTTCCCATCCAGTTGCTGACAGTGACCTGTGGCTCAGGGGTCTTCTAGTCCTGAACGTCTCTCATAGCGGCTGTAAAGTAAAATCTATAGTCAGCCTTTCTACTCATTGAGACACAGACACTTCTCGGCGTAGAATACCGGGAGGCAAGGTTTCCACCAAGTTTCTCGATGCACGCCAGCACTGAATCAGGTTGTCCTCGGCGACCGAGCACATCATCCAGGGGTCATTCTTGTTCCAGCTGAAGTCTGAAACACGGCTGGTGTGACCACCGTGCATGAAAANGCCTAGTATCATGTTAGCTTTGAAGTAGAAAGCCAAGAGAAGATCAGCCACATACATTTCTGGAGGTCCGTCTTCAGCATCATCGGGAGTCTGCTCGCTACCGGCACGGCTGATATCCCAGAAGATGACACGGCGGTCGTCGCCACTGCTGGCGAGGATGCAGGGATCGTGAGGATGCCATTCAATCTTAGTGACGACGTCCTGGTGTCCCTCCATGCTGTGAATTTTGCCGTGCTCGGGGAATCTCATGTCAAAGATTCCGACGGTGCGATCTGCCGAACCTGTAGCGAAGAGCACGTCGTGCTTCTGGTGGAAAGCGAGTGTGTTGATGGCATCGGTGTGGCCTGTGATTCTTATGGCAGGTTTTGAGTTGGAGTTTGTGCGCAGGTCCATCAGGCAGAAGGTCCTGTCGTCTGCGACTGTTCCAAGGAGGTTCTTTCCGTGCATGGGGTGCCATTGCACGTCGTTGACCGTGGCGCTGTGGTGGTTGAATATGCGGGCGGTGGTCAGGGTCTTGTCGGCTTTTGAGAAGTTGTTGATGTCNNCCTGGGAGAGAGTTAGTTTGGGTGGGAGGATAATGGCAAAAAGGCGACGAGCATACCAAACGCGGACAGTCTGATCTTCGCTACCAGTAGCCAATTGACCCTCGAAGTGAGGGTTCCAGTCGAGACCAAAGCCTTCCTTCTCGTGACCCTTCAACTCAATCTGGGCGTCGACCTGGTTCGTCTTCGGCATGGACGAGTGTTTTGTGCGGTCGAAGACGAGAGCGTCGCCCTGGATGGTCATGGTGGCGATGAGGTCGGGGTTTTGTGGCATGTAGCGGGCCTTGTTGATCTCGCCGGGGTGGTTGATCTTTTGGATGACGTTGAAAGAGATGGGCTGTTTGGCAGCACCGTGGCCGCCAATCTCCTCCTTCTCTGCATCGTAGTCACTTGGGTTGACGGCGGGCTTGTTGGGGAGGTCGACGGAGGCGATCTGTAGGTAGTCCTGTGTGGCGCCTGAAGTGTGTGTTCCGATCAGGAGGCGGTGGGTGGAGAAGTTCTTGTCGGGCAGAGACTGGACATCGGGCAGCCACTGGGTTGTGAGGGTGGGCCACTCCAGGGCTCTGCTGTAGATGACATCGTAGAGGAAGACGGCGTTCTTCTTCCAGACCTTGTACTCTTCGTTGATGATCTTGTTCTCGACGGCGGGGTCACTGACGCCGGCAGGCTGTGCTTGCATGTCTGCCATGGCGATGTTAGTTGGAGAAGGCTGTGAGGGTGGAGCAGGCTATGAGGTTGTAGGAGGTAGGGTGGAGGTGAGGTCAAAGAGGATGGCGAGGCGAGAGACAGAAAGACACACCTTGATCCATGATGGGCATGGTTTGTAGTGCCGGTTGGTGCTTCAGAGACAGAGGGCGGGACAAAGATGATCAAATGCGATTAAACGCGCCTGTCGAGCTTGGGACGCGTTGGCGTTTGCGCTGAGATTGGCTGCCAAGCAAGTCTGAAATCCGGGGCAGCTGCTCTAGCTGGCGTCTGTGCGCAGTCACTCTCGACATCATCAAGTCGCCGCCGCTCGACGCTCTCTCCTTCCTTCTTTCGAGGACTCCGTGTCGAAATATCCCGCCATACGCCCTTTCCACACCCGCGTCTCTTCTCACCCCCTTCTCTCTCCCCCCATTCCTAGACCCCAACAGTTGATCTTGGAACACAGATCATCATGGGTAAGTCGCCATTCGCAGTCCTACCACCACAATGCTCGTAGCTAACCACATTGCGCGCCTCCAGGTGTCCCCAAATTCTTCCGATGGATGAGCGAGCGCTATCCCGCCATCTCCCAGCTCATCGCCGAGAACCGCATTCCCGAGTTCGACGCTCTTTACCTTGATATGAACGGTATCATCCACAACTGCACCCACAAGGACGGAGACCATGTCACCAAACGCATGACCGAGGATGAGATGTTCATCGCCATCTTCAACTACATCGAGCACTTGTTTGGCAAGATCAAGCCCAAGCAGCTCTTCTTCATGGCCATCGACGGTGTCGCTCCCAGAGCAAAGATGAACCAGCAGCGTGCCAGACGTTTCCGTACTGCTCTCGATGCTGAAAATGCTCGCGAGAAGGCCATTGCTGCTGGTACTGAAATGCCCAAGGAAGCCCCCTTCGACAGCAATTGCATTACCCCTGGAACCGAGTTCATGGCTCGCCTCACACAACACTTGAAGTACTTCATCGCCAAGAAGGTCTCCGAAGACATCGACTGGCAAGGTCCCGAGATTGTCCTCTCTGGACATGAAGTCCCTGGAGAAGGAGAACACAAGATCATGGAGTACATCCGCAAAGCCAAATCACAACCCGACTACGACCCCAACGTCCGCCACTGTCTCTACGGTCTCGACGCTGATCTTATCATGCTGGGTCTTCTCAGCCACGACCCTCACTTCTGTCTTTTGCGTGAAGAGGTCACCTTTGGCCGCCAGAGCAAGGCCAAGTCGAAGGAACTGGAACACCAGAATTTCTATCTCATGCACCTTTGCATAGTCCGCGAGTACCTTGAGCTGGAATTCCAAGAATTGAAAGAGCCTGGAGTTCTGGGTTTCCAATTCGATATGGAGCGTGTCATTGACGACTTTATTCTTATGGCTTTCTTTGTCGGTAACGATTTCTTGCCTAATCTTCCTCACCTACACATTAACGAGGGCGCTTTGGCCCTCATGTTCGGCGTCTACAAGAAGATTTTGCCTCTCGCCAAGGGCTATATCAATGAGGGCGGTGTTATCAACCTCGACCGACTTTCTATACTCCTCGATGAGCTCTCTCACGTAGAGTTCCGCCACTTCGAATCAGAAAACGCCGATGCCAGCTGGTTCAAGGGCAAGCAGACTGGCCGTGAAGATGTCATGGTCAGAACTAAGAACAAGGGCAAGGTTGTCATGACTTCTTCGCAAAAGGAGGTTTACGCCCGCGTCAGACAATACGTCAACAGTCGCCCTGCCGACTCCGAGCCCGCACCTCTTGATCTGTCCGCCTCGCTTCCTGCACGCGACCGAAAGTTCGTCGAGGACCTCGCCGACAGCCTCCACCTGCAATGGAAGAGTGTTGTTGACGATCAAGGCGAGCGTCATCTACAGCTCTCGTTCTTCCCTCGCCCTCCATCCGATGACTCGGACGATGAAGAGGACGAGGAAGCTCAAACAGCGCTTCTCAGAGTGGTCAAGAGATATGACAATGCTGAAATCGTCGACATCAGCGCCGAAGAAGCTCAAGAGCAGATGTCCAAGAAGTACGACGAAAAGTTCGCCCAGTGGAAGGACACCTACTACAAGTCCAAGTTCGAATGGGGCACTGAGAATGAGGAGGAGCTCCGCAAGCTGACCGAAAACTACGTCCAAGGCTTGCAATGGGTTCTGTACTACTACTACCAAGGTGTCGTGTCATGGCCCTGGTATTACGGTTACCATTACTCTCCCATGATCTCCGACGTCAAGAGAGGTCTCAAGGCCAACATGGATTTCAAGCTTGGCCAACCCTTCCGTCCTTACCAACAGCTCATGGGTGTGCTTCCCGATAGAAGTAAGACGATCGTGCCCGACGTCTACCATCCTTTGATGACTAGCCCTGACTCACCCATCATCGACTTCTACCCCCGCGACTTTGATCTCGACATGAATGGCAAGAAGATGGAGTGGGAGGCTGTCGTCAAGATTCCTTTCATCGACGAGCAGCGCTTGCTCAGTGCCATGTCAACCAGAGATCATCTGCTCTCAGACGCACAACGCGCCCGTAACGAGTTTGGTGTCAGCTTGAAGTTCAGCTACGCTGCTGAGATGAACTACACCTACCCATCGTCCCTGCCCGGTGTTTTCCCAGACATTCCTAACTGCAAGTGTGTGGAAAACATCTTCGAGCTCCCTACTATGGAAGGTTTGGACGTCTACATTGGTCTTGTTGAGGGTGTCAAGCTTGGTGAAGATGCTTTGGCTGGGTTCCCTAGCTTGCGCACCCTCCCTACCACCGGCACCCTTGGCTTCCACGGAGTCAACGTCTTCCAACAAGAGAGCAGAAACGAGAGCATGGTTGTTACTCTGATGAATGCAGAGGAGACCAGCAGCATTGAGCATGCCAAGCTCAAGCTCGGAAAGGCCGTTCATGTCGGCTTCCCCTTCTTACACGAGGCAAAGGTCACCAGAGTGTCTGATGAATTGTTCGATTACATTCTTACAAACCCCGACGATGAGGCTACACCAAACAATATTGAGGCCATTCCTCACGGTGCTCCTGAGATCTCTAACTGGAAGAAGAAGGCCAGTCGCATTGAGAGCGTCTATTCTAAGAGACTAGGTGTTATCATCAGTGATGTTGAGGCTATGATCCATGTCGAGATGCTTGTTGGTCTACGAAAGACCGATGAGGGTGCTACTGTCAAAGAGTATGCCATGGTTGAAGGTCTCGAGGCTGACTACGCTGCTCAAGCCATTGTTGATGAAGTCGTCTCCGCCGACCAACGTTTCTTGGAGAAGGCTGCTCTTCCACTCGAGGAAGAGTTCCCTCTCAACTCCCGCGCCTTCTTCCTTGGCGATTTCAATTACGGTAGACCCGCTATTGTTGACGGCCATGAGAACGGCAAGACCAACGTCAGAGTCAACACGGTCAAGGTCAGAGAACCTGACTTCGGTCACCAAATCGCCCACCAAGCCGAACGCCAGTTCCCTTACAAGCCTGCCTTTGCTGTTGCAAGAGAACTGAATCTGCATCCTCTTGTACTGTCCAAGTTGACTGCATCTTTCCGCGTCAACTCATCAGGACTGCAGCTTAACCTCGGTCTCAATCTCAAGTTCGAGGCTCGTAAGATGAAGGTTCTGGGCTACAGTCGCAAATCAGAGCGTGGTTGGGAATACAGCCAGAAGGCCGTTGACTTGATCGCCACTTACATGACCAAGTTCCCTGAGTTTGTCGCGCGCATTCAAGCTAATCCTTCAGGAGATGTTTTCAACGACACCGACTTCTACCCTGCTGACATCGCTAAGGACAAGATGAAAGAGATTGGTGCTTGGCTCAAGAGTGTCGAGACCAAGTCTTTGGAGCGTGTCCCTCTTGACGCTGAACAGATGAACTCCGACACTGTTATGGCCCTAGAGCGTGCCGCAGAGCACTACTTGTCTCTATCTGCCAACCAGATTGAGGACAAGCCCATGCGTGGCGTACCTCGTCATGCTTTGCTCAAGCCTAGTGATGCTGAGCAACGTCTTGGTGCTCAGCGCTTCACTCTTGGTGATCGCATTGTCTACGTCCAAGACTCTGGCCGTGTTCCTATCGCTTCCAGAGGTACCGTCGTCGGTGTCACCAAAACACCCAGAATGACCATGCTCGACGTCGTGTTCGACTACTCTTTCATGTCTGGTACCAGTCTTGGCGATCGCTGCAGTCCTTTTAGAGGCAGCACTGTTCCCGTGACCAGCGTTTTGAATCTGACTGATAGACAATGCATCGCTGAGAGCAAGGCTGCTGCGTCGAAGCGTCAGCCTCCCAAACAGACTCCTTTGACTGTCAACAATGGCTACGGACCTCCTCAAGAGCAATGGCGTCCTGCCAACGCTCCTCCTCCGCTCAGAGGCTCTTTCAGCGGAGCCATGAACGGACGCGGTCGTGGCGGTCACGACAACCTTCCCATTCGTGGCGGAAACCCCAATCGTGGTCGCGGTCGTGGAGGCAGAGGCGGTTACACCATTGTCGACAACAGCGATCCCATGGAGAATGTTGTCCGCAACAACCTTGCATTCCGTCCTCAGAACATGAGCGCTGTTCCTCCTCCAGCTATTTTGAACAACGACTACCGCGGCAGAGGCAGAGGCCGTGGTCGTGGCGAGGGTAGAGGTCGTGGCGCGGGCCGCGGCGGCTTCGCACCCAGAGGTAGAGGAGGTGTTGTCAACGGCGATGAGCACAGCTCCTAGGGAGGGCTTGTACAATATCACGATTCGACGCACTGGGTTACGAAGATTACGGAATTAGTGAGCAGAAGATAAGGCATTATTTTGAGCATCTGGAGAAATGGGTCTTGAAGATATCTTGCTTGCCATGATCATGGATCTTGTTGCTTTTTGATGTTTCTCGTAGATAGAGATACCCCCAATCGCAGAACCTCTTGACTATAATCCAACTTGTCCTTTCTGCAAACCTTTTTCTGTTTCCTTTGATCTCGATGACTGAGGTTGTTTCTCCATGCTGTAAAGTGCTGTCAGTTGTGACATGCGTGGTTATCGTCCAACAATAACTGATTCTTGTGGTATATATTGGTTCAGAAAGCTTGGTAGGCAGCGCGGCGTTTGAGATGTTGCATCAAGATATTGATGTCGCACGTTTGAAATATTAATTCATGCATCTGTCATCTCTTTGTTTCTTATCCGTGATCCAGCGTATCGGCGCGCTTTTGAGGGAAAACAAAACAAAGACGTTCCGTGTAAGGAGCCGACCATGGTTTTTTTTTGATAACCTTGGATGCAACATTCTTAAGATATCCATGGATCCGCCCCCATCGACCATAACTCTTTGACACAACAACAGTGATATGTCTGAAGATCAGGATGCACACACAAACACACAACATGATATACCCATATGCTTCTTGATTTCTTGTGTTGGTAATCCATAGAAGACTACGGCGGTGGGAAGGCATGGGACGTGCCATACATGCAAACAAAGAGAATGCAAACTCTGTGTGATTAAAAAAACAAAAGAAGGCAAATCAAGTCTATATTTCTGTTGGGATTGTTGTTGGTTTTCTTGGTGATATTCTCATCGAGTGGTTTGCTCACAACCCATTGTCCTNTTTGAACTTGTCCCAAGCTTCGTTCAGCGTACTAAACACCGATCCACTGATCATCTTCTGCTCAGTAGTAGCCGACTGCGGGATNNCTGTTCATCGAGATTAGTATCTTTTACAGATTATCAGGGAGTGGATTCTTCATTGACATACCTTGTCGGGGTGGACCTTTGCAATCGCCTTCATGTACACTATCTTGACCTTGTTGGGCATGATCAAGTCGCTCATGTTGACCTTCTTCCACCCTGCTTCGGGCCAGAGCACTGTGTCCAAGCTGCCCAGGAGAGCGCGCAAGTTGTCCGCTTTACCACCTTTCCATGCAGTGACCTTGGCTTCGACTTGGTCGGACAGGGCGAATTTTTCGTCATCGGCCCTATCGGCTGCCGCGTTCGCTTCACGCAGTTTGCGTACTGCTTCTTGCGACTGAACCTGTGGGACAGCAGGGCGTTTGGGTTGCTGGAGCTTGCCAGCCGGAGCTCTTGTGACTGGCGTAGGTTTTGGCTTCGCAAGTGCGGGTTTTGATGTTCCACCAGTGGCAGCTTTCTCACAGCGATCACGAGCGCGTAGACTTACAGCGCCGCCTACTCCGACTGCGATGGCATCTCTCCAGACTGAAGCTGCATCTGACCATTTCTCCATGTTTTCTAGTGCTTCGGCTTTGCGCATGAGTGCTTTGCCGTGAAACTCTTTCATGTCCTTCTCGCCCTCACCACCTCCAAGATCAATCTTCTCGTTTTCACCCTTGCCGATCCCGATGAGTTCGAGGACACGGTCTGCATCAACGACTGCTGCTTTCGGATCGCCGGTCTTGATGGCTGTCAATGCTCTGTTTGAAAGTACAACGATGATCAGAGGGTGGGTGGACGGCAGTGGGGTAAGAGCGGCAGAGTATGAAGTATGTGCGGCATCGAAATCTCCTCTCTTGAAAGCCTCTGTACCAGCACGGCGGTGGCTGCTAGATGTCGAGAGTGCGGATGGAGAGATGGATGGGATATTCCGTGGCGGCGCTTTGGGTCGGGGAGCTTGTGGCACGGGTGTAGCAGCTTTGGTTGCAGCAGGACGAGGAGCGGGAGTGTTCCTTGTAGATGCAATTTGTGGAGCCGGCTGAGCAGGTGCTGGACTGAATAGGTCGACCTCGGGCTCAGGCTGTGGTTCTGGCTTTGCGGGTCTTCTCCGCCTTGCAGAGCTGACATATGCCTGTGATGATTCTTCCTCAACGTCGAAGCGACTAACTTTGGCGTTGGGGCGTTGAGCCTGCGGCGGCGGTGCTTGCTGTGCGAATCGTGATTGCGGCTGAGTTCGCACAGGCAGGTCCTGAGCAGGAGATCGGACCCTAGAATCAGGTCTAGAAACAGGTTCACGTATCTCAGGAGTACGCGCCTTTGTCGGTCGCTGCCTCTCGTCTCTTGCCTCCAAAAGCATAGCCTCGTTGGTCAATTCCTCAGCAGTCTGTGCAGGTGTTGCTGTACGAGGAGTCGAAGAGCGTCCGGGTCGCGTAGGCGCTCTATCAGCACTTGCATCTCTCATCCATTTGGGCGTGTTTGTGTCACCCTCGGGCTGCTGGAATTCGGCAACGGCCTTCTTCAAGTTCTTTTGACCAGTCTTCCAGAGGGAACCTGCAGATTTGAGGAACGAAGTACCAAACTCTTGTGCATAGGCAGCCACATCCTTTTCCGAGGCAGGCGTCCCATTATCTTGTCTGCGCTGATTAGAAGTCGGACGCGACTCCTGTCGCATCCAAGCAGGCACCGAAGCATCCTCATCGCCTCTGCCGCGTCGTGGTTCGTCACGAGGCTGAGGTACTGGACTCGCACGGGCACTACCACGGTTTTGTGTCCTCTCTTTTGATTGTTGGTGTGCCTGATTGAGTAACCATCCTACAGCTGACTGTACATCACCTCCCGTCTCTTGCAATGCAGCTCGTGACCTATCAGCAGGGAAGCCCATATCGACCAGTTCGGCTATCGGACGGTCGAGAGGATCCGAAGACGGAGGAGAGCGGCGGGCGTTGACATCAAAGGCTTCATCGACGGGCTCGCGTCTAGGAGGTTCGCGGCGGGGTGGTTTGGCAGTTACGGGCTTTCCAAGATCTCCGAGGATATCGTCGTCGTCGTCGTCGTCGTTTGTAGTCGCTTGAGGAGGNNCTGGTAAGGACTTGGCTTGCGTTGAGGGGCTGCNTCCTAGGCCAAATGGATCGTCATCGTCGTCTGCGAGCAGGGAGGTGGAGTTGGACTGGTTCGCAACGGCGGGAGTATTGCGACCACTGGTCACAGTAGAAGCAGCTGGTACTGGAAAGTGAGACGACTTGTCGACTGGGGCGGCCGAGTTGAAGGCAGCAAGTAGGTCGTCCTCGTCGTGCTGAGCACGAGGCGCAACGCGTTGTGATGGTGGCTGAGGCGTGCCCTTTCCACTACCCAGGTTGTCCCAAAAGTTTGCTTCGCCTCCATACTGTTGGGCATATTTCTGACGCTGCTCTTGTTCTTGCTTAGTCTTCTCTTGCTGGAGTTGTTTCTGGCGTTCCAGGAGGCTCAGGTTGCCTTGGTTCTTGTTTGCGTTTGTGGACACGAGGTTGGCGAAGATGTCGTTGGCAGGTGAGGCAGTCTTTGACGGAGCTTTGGGGGCGGCAAACGGAGAGGGAGCTTTGGCAGCAGGCAGGTTGTTGGCGAAAGGTGAAGGAGCCGGACTGGCACGCGAGCTCGAGGCAGCACTGGGCATGGACATGGGCATGCCGAATGCTGGCCGCGGGGNCTAGGGTAGGGCATTCTGCTTGGCTGCCGGCGCGGCCGCAGTCCAATCCGTGTTCAAAAGATCATCCATACTGAGCGCGTCGCTGTCGGAAGTCTGCAGACATGAGAAAGTGATGTTGACAGGGAATTGGTTTGCTATTTCAGGTTGCTACGAAACACATGGGCCCGCCGTTAAGTCCGCGTCATTGGCTCGATCCAGAACAAACGCGTCCGTGTCAAACCTGGGGATCCTTCGGCAAACTTTCCCTACTCAAACCAGCCTATACCATTCTCCTCCGACTTTGAACAAAGCAAGTTTTACAAAAGACACTTCATTCATGTAGTCCAGCTACTTGTGTTGTGGAGACGTCGAGACTTGTGACGAACCGATCTCAACCTCGCCCAACGAGGCTATAAACATCAGTTATTGCTCTCGTGCTTTCAAGTGCGTGGAGTACTTACCTGTAACCTTTAGCCGTACCCCAAATCGATTCGTCTTTACTGCAGTTGAGATCTCTCTTCTCATCAAATGTGTGGTTGTTGTAGTAGCAGTTCCAAAAGTGGTTTGCTGGGTATATCGACTGGACGTACAAGAAGACGCAGGTCGAGAGTTCTGATATCCATCAGTATCGTTCAAGTTCTTCAGGAGCGCAGCTAACATACCNTATACACGTAGCTTTACATATCTCTGTGACTTGAGACTCGTTCATGGTTGCGAGCATGAACGTTTGCACAGACTTCTGCCCTACATCATCACAGCCAGCTTTTGGTCCCCAGACTTGAGTGAATGAAGGTGCTGCCATCTTGACAGTCGAGACAGACAGAGTCGATACAGTCTGTGTGATCGAGGCCGTGACCTCAGGAGCGACTGTGAACCATACTTCGCCGGTTATTGTCGTGGTCGATGGTGCTGCCTCCAGGAGGGCAGCTTCAACGGACGGCAGCGCTCCAATACAGGAGCATGCTTCTGACAGCTCCGACTTGTCCAATCCAGACAGGATATCCTCGGCTGTACCGCATGATTCTGCTCTCCTGCGTCTTCTACCCGTCGTCTTGGCTGAAGGTGTCGTGAATGTTGTTGTAGTGCTCTTGGAGACGATTGACTTGGTGGAAGTGATGGTGACTGTGCTGGTAGGAACATCAGAGGGTGTCGTCGTTCTTACTATAACATCCAAAGATGTGACAATTGCCTCTGTTGCAACGCCGAGTGCTGAGGTGCAGTATGCAGAGGCCGCCGTGTTCGAGGCGAGGCATGAGTAAGCTGAAAGCTGACAGCCTGCTGCATTGGCTGACACGGACAAGAGGGCTGCGATTGCAAGGAGTACTTGCTGCATGTCGAAATATGTAAAAATCTAGTGGGATCTGGGCGATCTATAGGCGACGCTCAAGCTGTGATATAGAGGGCTGGAAAGACAACCTCCGGTGTTTGGAGAACACGAATGGCGCGCACCACCAGCGTCCCTTTCATCTTACGGGTAGCATCGCGCATAAGGAAGCGCAAGCGATGACAGGTCCAGGCAATACGAGTTTCCGCTGCAATGGACTGTTGTATCACTCCGGGATTGCAAGCTCTGTGAGTGGTCTCGACACGCTGCGTCTCCGGTCCGGAATCGCTAGTGCGCCATCGTCAAGATGCAACCACCCCTCGCCGACACCTAATTCTGCCATTGGCGGCATTTGAATGTAATGCGACAAGCAAATTCTGGCGCCTTTCCGAATTCTTTTCAGTTAGACGGCCGCGTCACGCTCGAAGGATTGGACATGTTTCGTCGAAAGTGTGGCTTCTGCATGTGGGAGTGTCACCTATCCAATGGATATCGACCTACCAAGGTTGATCTTGCATGACCATCAGGGACGCTTCGGCGAAGAAACGTGAAACAATATCACATGTGCTTATAGAGACAAATAATGTAGCATAATGCAACGGAGCCGACCCACGTTCTGCATGTAGAAAAGACAGTCGCTTGGTGGACATGCGGCATAGTCAGCAATACATTCTTTGCTATGTCGTGCCCCTCTCGTAGCACGATATCTCAAAGCAAAAGTAGCTCAATCAAGCCTACCCTATGATCAGGTAGGGCTCGTGTCAGGGCTCGTGTCATATGCAGTCATTTTGATCATGTTCACCAGACCAGATGGATCAGAATCAAGAATCTGCAGTTCTGCCTTCAGGTTAAGCATCAACATCACCTGCAATTCACGACGCCAGTGTGCCGCTTCATCAAAGCTGGCGTGCCGCTCCCACTCGAGCATCTTCTTTGCTTTGTGACGGTCCCGCAGTGTCAAGGTGAGCAGCCCTTGATTCCGGTGTGTCCGGTCTTCGTCTGTGATCGTCTGACTATATAAGCCCAGCCATTTTATTCTCGGTACGATGAGTTCGGCATTTTCTTCAGACATATTTTTCGAACCGTGCTTGTACGTGTGTAATATCGCTAGGCCGTCTGGGTCAAAGTCTACAAGACCGAAGACTGGAGGTTCCGCAAAGCCATTCTGAGGTGACGCTACGGTCATGAAGCGAGTCACTGCTCTTGTCGCTATGTCTGGATATCCTTTGCCNNCTGATAGATAAGGTCAGATCAACCGTCTAATGGCTCCTAGCTGTGAACTCACAGTGACGAGAACAGCATGCCACATCATCTCTTGCCAACCTTCAGATGACAAGACTGATTGGAATGTGGNCCTTGAGAGTGGTCAATCGCCGGTCAATCAAGGGCTAGACATCTCTCTTACCTCTTTCTCAATGACAAGCACCCACCTAACTCGGGTCAGATCCATGGACAGGACCTCTTCCATATTCGGCACGAGAATGCCGCTTTGCACGTTCGTCAAGTCGATCTTTGAACCATCTCGTCGATGTACCACAGCGGCGCCAGCCATGAGGCCTTTCACTCCGGCAGTCTGTGGTTCTTAGTGTGTTGTCCGTACTCATGGAATCAATATGCGAACCACGTTGAGAGATGACCTAGGTACTGAAAAGGCGGCAGCGATCTGATCAACATAGCGGTCTACGGTGGATTGCCTGCCAAACAAAGCTGGATCGCGATAGTATAGGTCGCNTATGACTAGGCATTAGAAGGAAACAATTTGTAGTCAGTCTCACTTGACATGCCGCTTGGTCAGGATGAGACCGTCTGAAAGCGACTCGTGTATAAGTTCTAGGATTCGTACAACGACNNGGCTTTCTAGATGTTAGCTGCTGACTCTGGTAGACTCCAACCCTCGATAATACCAACAGAATCTCCATGCGTCGTTGGCAGTCTTTCCTGGAAATGTGAAGACTGCTTTCGGAGTTCGGACAGACGCGTCTCGGGATTCTTTTGAGGATTGAGAGTTTAGTGAGATAGTAACATCGGCCCTCTCGTTGAGGAGAGCGTCTGCCATAGTCTCGAAGACTGCTTCGATTTGCGTGATGACGTCGTGATGCTTGTCCCAGCGGCAGAGTTGAGAACCGCCGGAGCGAGAAACGTCTTGACTGGCAAAGATTTCTGCACCATCGCCGAAGAGCATGTCGATATCAGTCTCGTCTTCCATTCAATTGATGGTATACGAGGTTGCCAGCACAAGATGGAAAGTGGAAGCGGAAGGGGAAGTCGGCGGGGAAGGCGGAGAGCGTAAGGCTTGGCAAATTAGTCGCGGGTCGCGAGGCAGTCGCGTCTCGCTCTTTCTCGATTCCAACACACTCGCACTCGGCTAGGCATTGACCTGTGGCTACTTTCAATTACGCATACCGATTCCAACCTTCACTCGCATCACGTCACATTGCCAAAATCACTGGCCATCTGGAATCATGGCTGAACCAATGGACATCTCATCACCAGACCACTCGCGTAAACGCTCGTTGCCGGACGACGACCAAACTTCCGTCTCAAAATCAGAGAGCCAGGTGCCGACTCCACCTCTCACCGCCAGTCCTGCCAACAAAGACTCCATCCGTCAAGCAAGCCCTGCTCCAAGCAGCTCGGCCCTGAGCAGTGCTCCATCGGGAGCGAACGACCAATCCACCGACCCGAACGCACCTCCTAAGAAACGAAGAAAGTACACGCCTGCCGAGCAGGAACAAAGACGCTTGGAGAAGGAGCAGAAAGATAAGGAGAGAGCCGAGCTAAAAGTCAAGAGAGACGAGGAGAAGCAGAAGAAGGATGAGGAGAAGCGTCGCAAGAATGAAGAAAAGGAAGCAAAGCAGCGTGAGAAAGACCTGAAGAAGGCTAGAGAGGACGAGGAGAAGGAGAAGAAAGCACGGGTTGGATCTCATGGTACTCGTCCATTGTCGACCACAAACTGACTTNNCATCCAGGCACAACCCAAAATCGCTTCCTTCTTCAAGATGCCGTCCTCACAAAAGTCACCAGCTGTCTCTACACCAGTGCAGCCCTCCCCTGCTCGCCAAAACAGTAGCAATTCTCAGCCTTTGGATGCAGATGTTCCTATGGCATCTCCAACCCCCAAGAGGTCACCCCAGCAGAGCCAAAGTGACTATCGCAAGATGTTCCTGCCGTTCCAGCTCAAGGCACACACCAAGTGTGCCCCTTACGTACCAGCCTTAAACCCCGACGAGCTTGAAACATCACAGAAAGAGATGGACAAAGTCCTACGGCGCACAACAATCGCAGCATCTCCTACATCCTCCTACAACACACTCTTCGCCAAGGAGAGAACACGTTCACGCGGCCTCTGGCAACCTACAGCCAGAGAGGTCATCGAGTCATTACAACAAGGCTCTTCACAAGTTCCAGTCGACCTGACTGACGAGTCAGGCGAGCACTACCGACCTACCGACCTCCTGGATTCTCTCATCGTCCGTTATCTTCACTTTGGCGAAGATGTGAGACCAGCTTACTTTGGCACGTACTCACGGAAGATTTCTTCACCAAATGCCTCTAAGCTCCGTAAAAATCCCTTCAGCAAGCTTCGCAAAGACACCGACTACGACTATGACTCCGAGGCTGAATGGGAGGAGCCAGAAGAAGGAGAAGACATTGGATCTGACGGTGAGGAAGACGAAGAAAGCGTTGGCGACGCAGAGGAAATGGACGAGTTCTTGGAAGACGATGCTGCCGACAGCAAACGACACATGATCACTGGTGACCTCAAGCCAGTCAGCACAGGTTTGTGTTGGGAAGACGCTAAGGGCTTGTCCAAGTCTTCGACTGAAGAATCCTCTGTCGATCTTGACAGTATGAAGATTGACTTCTTCATTCGTAAGTCTTTTTGCCATATCGTGTGACAGACTGTCTCTAACATTCGATAGCCNTTGACCCAGCCTTCCATCAACCCCTTCTCAGCTAGCTACTGGCAGACTCCATCCACACCAGCTGTTATTGTTGCCAAGGCTAGTGGCGGTCAGATGCAGCTGGATGGCAAGATGAAGCCACCAAAGGTTCCTCTGATGCCAAGATCAAACACCAACGACACTATGACCATCATTGGTGCCTCTAGCGGTATGAAGGGACCGATCATGAGCGTAGCCTCGACCAAGGCTGCAAAGCCAGCTCCCAAGCCTCTGCAAGGACCAGAACTAGCAGAGTTCAAAGACGCTGTCGATGGCAGCAACCTCACAAAAGTCGATCTGCTCAAGGCTCTGAAGAAGAGGTACGTGGTTGTATCTTGATGTTCTCGAGAAGGTGCTAACAAATTCTTNAGATTCCCCAAGCACACCAACGACACGATCAAGGCAACTCTGTCAAGTTGCTTTGCTCGAATCGGCCAATATGAGGCCGACAAAGTCTGGAAGGCTGTTGCTGCCTGAACTACCACACATTCTTGACGACTCTTTACCGATTACCTTTCTTTGCTTTTTCTTCTTCCTCTTCTTCAGCGACACATCCCAATACCGCATTTGCTATTACACAGGAGCGTTATTGATGGGGCAACATTCATATTCAGGTGGGAGGTTTTGTGTATTGGCCGGCTGGCTGGTCTGTACTAGGACGAGGGGCCTGTTTAGCTTTTTGACAGCATGCTCACGAAAAGCATGTTTATAGATGATGGCATAATCAATATGCTCATAGCTTTTACTACGATCTTCTTACTCGAATCTCTTGCAATGACGTGATCTCTTTGGCAGTGTTGACAATCGTTCTTCAGCGAGGTGGCTGGGAAGCCAGGGTGGTACCAATTACAATGCTCATCAAGGTCGTCGGTGGTATGAGGGCACTACGAGGCAAGTCATCTTTTCTATTGTTGTGTTATGGTACTCTGTACATCTTGGGTACTGCTGTGTATATACGCGCTAGCTACTGGTGTCGTTATCGTTGCAGGATCCCGATTTTATATGTTCTCACCATGCCCGCTGGTCAAAACGACCATAAGTAGTACAATCATGGCTGGGATTCTACTATCACCGGATCGCTCGCATATATCAATCAGTAAGACAAAGATACGTCCGAAATCGCAACATCAGTCTTAAAGGGGATCTTAAACACCCTTGGTACAAGGGATAGGAAGACAACTTCATTATGATGGTGGAAGAAAAGGGAGATATATGATTGACAGGGTGATTCCCCAGACAAAGATGACGTTTCAGCTCTCGGGCCGAGTGTTTCGTCTCTCCCCCGATCAACAAGTTGGGAGTCTTTTGTTTGCAACATCTCAGGAGACAACATTTCGCAGCGCATGAACGGATTGAGGGCGATTACAGAGACGTTGATGTCTCGCGGTGACGGCAGTCACGCTGCTCAGATTTCGTCCATCACATTGGGAGCTGCCGTAGTGTGCACTGTGTGGTATGCCGCCGTCTCGTTGGTTTGCGCCGTGGGCTATACACAATTGTGAGTATGAAGGATTGAGACGGTTGCTCATGAGATTGACTCTGTGCAGNNGAGACGACACTATTCGTATCCGCCGCCGAAACCCCAACTCGCCGATTCAGATGCACCCCATGTCACCATCATTCGACCTGTAAAAGGCCTTGAGCCCAGCCTCTACCAATGTCTGGAGTCGACTTTCCTCCAGGAGTACCCAAAGGACAAATTGACAGTCTTTCTCTGCGTGGCTGATCGCAAAGACCCGGCTTTTCCTATTCTACAGCAACTCATCAAGGACAATCCGAGTTTCGACGCTCATGTGCTGGTTGAAGAGGAAGACCCAGAACTTCAAGGGGACAATGCAGATACAAGACTTGGACCCAACCCCAAAGTCAGAAACATGAGTCGCGCATACAGAGAAGCCAAGGGCGACATTGTGTGGATCATTGACTGCAATGTTTGGGTCAACAGGGGCGCTTGCGGCAGAATGGTCGACACCTTGATCGGCAACCGTGGCATCAAGAATAAATTCGTTCATCTCTTGCCGCTGGTCGTGGATATTGCAGGCACGCCTGTCCCAGAGAGTGCACAAGGACTTTTGGAAGATCGCGATCCGGATACCGATTTCAGAGTCGTGTCGACCAGTACTGCAGGCCACCAATTGCGCTCTTCCAACAGTGCCTCTTTGGATGTGCTCAGCGAAGGTGGTGGTAGGATTGAAGAATTGTTCATGTCCTCTGCACATGCAAAGTTCTACACTGCCATCAACACTGTCTTGATTGCACCCTGCATCGTCGGCAAATCAACAATGTTTCGCAGATCCCATCTCAACAGCCTCACCAACGGCCAAGGCATCGATTTCTTCTCTGAAAACATCTGCGAAGACCATTTGATTGGCGACTTACTCTGGAAAGGCAAAATCCCTGAAGAAGAAAGAGGAGAAAAATGGGGTAAACATGCGCAAGTCTTTGGCGATTTGGCCATTCAACCAATGGCTGGTATGAGTGTGGCTGAATATATCGCTCGTCGCAGCAGATGGCTGCGAGTACGAAAGTTCACAGTCACCTTGGCTACTCTGGTGGAGCCTGGCACCGAAAGCCTTTTATGCTCGCTCTATGGCGCTTTTGCCTTTACCACGTTGCCTTTCTTCCACAACACGCTAGGTGTACCGCAGACATGGACGGCATTCGTAATATTCTGGCTGTTCAGTGTCTGCACATGGTGTTTTGTGGACTGGACACTGTACTGCAAACTACACTCTTGCGCCTCCGTCCAAGTCGACGAAAACACACCTGCTTTCGCACGGCCGCCCAAGAACGGCAGACGAAGACCTTTTCCTGTATGGCTGTTTGCTTGGCTCGCGCGAGAGACTCTGGCATTGCCGATTTGGTCCTGGGCGGTCTATGGCGGTGTCACCGTGGTGTGGAGGGGTAAAAAGTTGTGGGTGGGTATGGATATGAAGGTTCATGAGATCAAGAGTGATGGCGGGTTTGCTGGGTCTGTGCAAGATGCTTCAAAGGCTAGGACGGATTAGAGTAAGAAAATGAAATCTTGAGTACATGCGGCAGCTGCATGCTTTGTGAGAGTGAAGAGGAGGAAGGCGTGAAGTGCTGGTTGCTTTCTAGAGATGAAGCCTTTGTGAGATGCCGAACCATCGCTACGCCCTCGACGTTTATACGAAAAGACACCAAGCGACAAATAAATCCAACTCAACTCTTTCCCGTCTGCACACCCAGTCAATATCGTCGTCAACACATCGCCATCGTCAAGGTACACCGAAGTCTTCCATGACACGACCCACAAGATGAGGAAAGCAAGCAAAACACCTGAGTATATATGGCATTTCTCGCAGCCTATCTTTGTGTACTTAATAACCTTTCGCATCTCAGAGTTTCCGTCTTTATACCTCAAAAACGATCAAAAACGCCATCCCCAGATCCACAGTTTCCCCTATCAGTATTCTCATAATCTCCTATTTGGCATCATCTTTGGTGTTTTCGGTCTCTAACCAACCCACTTTCTAGCACTCTTGAACATTCTAACCCACGGGCCAAACTCGCCCCAGGTGTCTGATTGATCCTTGGGCATCCAGCTGCCGACTTCCTTGAGAATGGTGCGCTCGGGGTGAGGCATCATGGCAAGAACACGGCCATCGGGGGTTCTGACACCGGTGATACCTTGAGGCGAGCCGTTGGGGTTGTAAGGGTACTTTTCGGTGGGCTTGAGGTAGTTGTCGACGTAGCGCATAGATACAAGGCCTTCATTCATGAGTGCTTGTGGGGAAGCAGAGGAGGCGGCGCTGGTGTCGAAGGTGGCTTGGCCTTCGCCGTGGGCGGTGATGATGGGCAGGTAGGAGCCGCTCATGCCGTGCAGGAATACAGAGGGCTGCTTGGGGTTATCCATGACTTCGACCATGCACACTCTAGCTTCGTATTGCTCACTGACGTTGGTCTCGAAAGTGGGCCAAGTCTCAGCGCCGGGAATGATGTCTGTCAGGCGCGACAGGAATTGACAGCCGTTGCATACACCGAGGGCAAAAGTGTCCTTTCTCTCAAAGAAGTCCTTGAATTCTTTGCGGGCGCCCGAGTGCAGCAAGATGCTCTTGGCCCAGCCTTGACCGGCACCGAGAACGTCACCGTACGAGAAACCTCCGCAGGCTGCGAGACCGACAAAGGATGCGAGCGATACGCGACCAGACAGAATGTCGCTCATGTGGACATCGATGGGTGAGAAGCCGGCAACGTTGAAGGCGAATGCCATCTCGGCTTGACCGTTGACACCCTGCTCACGCAGAATAGCGACGCGAGGCTTGGCACTGATGGCAGACGAGATGGTGGTGGTCAAAGGCAAGATGTTGTCCTTGGGGTTGAAGGTGAGCTTGTACGAAAGACCAGGATCCTTGCTATCGGCAATGTTGGCCATCTCGACGTCAGCACACTCAGGATTGTCTCTCAGACGCTGCATGGCCATAGAGGTAGTCTGCCAAGTCTTTTGCAAGTTGTGACGGCTCTCTCTGTAGATGACATCGGCCTTGTAGTGGAACGAAATCTCCTGCTTGGTGGCTGCGGGGACTCTACCAATCTTCTTGATCATGCCGGGAGGAGGACCACAGCTGGAGAAGCAACGGTTGAACTCAATCTCATCCTTCTTTCTGACCTGGAAGACGGCACCAATTTCCTCGTTGAACAGAGCCTCGATGACATCCTCAGTCTTGTCTGATTGAGTGATACCGTCAAGCATGATCTCAAGACCAGTACGGCCGGCGAACATCATCTCAACAAGGGTGGTGAATAGACCACCATCAGAGCGGTCGTGATAAGCGAGAACAATGCCAGACTCGTGAAGCGACTCGACAGCGTCGTAGAAGTCCTTGAGTACCTCGGCATCACGAACATCAGGAGCCTCGTCACCAATTTTGCCAAAGACTTGAGCAAGAGCAGAGCCACCCATTGCCTTCTTGCCAGCAGCAAGGTCAACAAAGAGCAGAATAGTCTCGCCAACATCCTCGAGTCTCGAAAGGGTGGGTGTCCAGGTTCTCTCGATGTGATCAACAGGGGCGAAAGCGGAGATAACCAACGAGAGAGGTGCGGTGACCTCCTTTGCCTCCTTGGTCTTCTCATCTTGCCACTTCATCTTCATGGACATAGAGTCCTTGCCGACGGGGATGGAGATGCCAAGCTCAGGGCAAAGCTCCATACCGATAGCCTCAACAGCCTCGTAAAGAGCGGCACCCTCACCAGGGTGACCACTAGCAGCCATCCAGTTGGCCGAAAGACGAATACGCTTGAGTCTATCGGGAATGCTGGCAGCGGCCAAGTTCATCAATGACTCTGCAACCGACATGCGGGCCGAAGCAGCGGCAGAAATAAGAGCAAGCGAAGGACGCTCACCCATAGCCATAGCCTCACCAGTCTTGACACCAGGCAGAAGCGAAGTAGCAGTGACTGAAACATCAGCAACAGGAGTCTGCCAGGGACCAACCATCTGGTCGCGAACAACAAGACCACCAACAGATCTGTCAGCAATGGTGATAAGGAAAGACTTAGAGCCAACAGAAGGCAGAGAGAGAACACGCTTGACGGCCTCGCCAAAGACATCCTTGGTGGAGACCTTGGGGAGATAAGTAGCAAGAGTGCTGTCGAACTGCGGAAGCTTGAGCTTTCTGGACTCCACGATCCTCGACATCTTGGGAGGCTTGCCGAAAAGAATCGACATGGGAAGGTCGATAGGGCTGGGGTACTTTTCGGAATCACGATCCATCAGAATAAGACGCTTCTCCTCCTTCGAGGCGCGATCACTGGCTTGGCCAACCACAGAGAAACCACATCTTTCACGCTTGCAGATCTTCTTGAAGAGCTCAAGACCTTCGGGAGAGACAGCCATGACGTATCGCTCTTGTGCCTCACAACACCAGATTTGTAGAGGGCTGAGACTACGGTCGGCGTTGTCGATTTCTCTCAACTCAAACTTGGCACCAAGTCCGGCATCGTGAACAATCTCGGGCAGAGCGTTGGACAAACCACCAGCACCAACATCGTGAATGAGCTGGATAGGGTTGTTAGATCCAAGGGAAGTGCAAGTGTTGATGACTTCCTGAGCACGTCTCTGAACTTCGGCGTTTCCTCTCTGTACACTAGCAAAGTCGAGTTCGACATTACTCTCGCCAGACTGAACACTGGAAGCTGCGCCACCTCCAAGACCAATGAGCATAGCAGGTCCGCCGAGGACAATGAGGGAAGCGCCAGCGCTAACAAACTCCTCCGACTTCAGAGCATGCTGAGGACGAACGGTGCCAACACCACCAGCAAGCATGATAGGCTTGTGGTATCCTCTGATTTCAGTAGTGTTGTCGTCAATGGGGACTTCGGTGGTCAGGGTACGGAAGTAACCAGTAGTGCAAGGTCTTCCGAACTCATTGTTGAATGCAGCACTACCGATAGGGGCCTCAAGCATGATGTCAAGAGCACTAGCGATGTGGCCAGGTCTTCCAACATCCAGTTCCCAGGGTTGCTCGTGGCCAGGAATGAGAAGGTCGGAAACAGTGAAACCAGAAAGACCAGCCTTGGGCTTCGAGCCCTGTCCAACAGCACCCTCGTCACGAATTTCACCACCAGATCCGGTGGCTGCTCCGGGGTAGGGAGAAACGGCGGTGGGGTGGTTGTGAGTTTCGACCTTGGCCAAGAAATGAACGACTTCCTTAGTCTGCTTCCATTCGCCAGTAGAGTGCTCGGGGGCCCAAAGACTGGCATTCTCACCCTGGAGAACGGCTGCGTTATCGCTGTAAGCGCTGACAACGTACTCGGGGTGCTTCTTGTGAGTATTTCTGATCATGCCGAACAAGCTGTTGGGCTTGCGCATGCCGTCGATCGTCCAATCTGCATTGAATTGCTTATGTCTGCAGTGCTCAGAGTTGACCTGTGCGAACATGAAAAGTTCGACATCGATAGGGTTACGCTTTAGTTGGTTTGAGTAGGCATCGACCAGGTAGTCAATTTCAGAGGCGTCCAGAGCAAGACCAAGTGTACGATTGGCCTTCTGAAGGGCTTCCTTAGGAGTGCTTCCCTCAGCAAAGAGCTCAATTTCTTGAGCTTCTGCAGGCTCGTGTTCGGCAAACATAAGATTGAGATCCGGAGGTCCAGATTCGATGGTTTGAGTCATACGGTCATGAAGCATGTCAGGGTTGGGGATATCATTCTTCTCGGGTGCATCCTTGAAGCTTGCAGCAATAACCATACCGCGTTCAATACGCTTGATCTGCTTCTCCAAGCCACAGACATGGGCGATACTGGTCGCCTTTGAGCTCCACGGTGAGATTGTTCCGGCTCTAGGAGATACATAGTAGAGACGGGTGGTGTCGTCTCTAGCATCACCACCACGGTGAACAGCATCCAGAAGAACTTGTGAAAGTCTGTCTTGAGTGGAGAGTTGAGTTCCGTATTTCAAGAGCTGATCCAAGATCTTTGTGTCCTCGTCGCTGAGCTCCTGCTTGGGGTTGACATAGTGCATCCATACAGCGCGCACCTCGGTGGCGCCGATTGCGGCAGCAAGACGAGCAGTACGGAAACCAGAGAATGCAGAAGAGCCTGGCAGAGCCAGATAAGGTGTTTGTGAGACCATGATGGGGTGATTTGAGCTACCAAGGCTCACACCAGAAGGAAGTGAGATGGATAAAGAAGTGTTCGAATGGTCGGCGCGAGATTTTTGGATGGACGTGGAGGGACGTCCCAAAACGGCTAGCGTGTTTGAACCCTGATAACATTTTTTGACTTTCCTTCTTCCGCTACGACGACTTGCTGCAGTTGTTTCTTATAGGCACTTCTAACTTCAATGCTTTCACACCCGGAGCCTCGACATAGTAACAATACATTGTCAAACCATGATTATGTTCTGACAATCCTCTCCATCCTCAATCTTGACATTGATGTACAGTAGCAAGCTCGCGCACTGACTCGAACCCCAGCCTCCCCGGCGTTGACATGGGGTATTATCTAAATCGCCGTTAGAATGAGCAATACCATGAAAATTTTCTGGTAA